CGCGGCACGTGGGATCTTCCCGGACCGGGGCACGAACCCGCGTCCCCTGCATCGGCAGGGGGGGGGACGGCCCCCCCCCCCGCCCCCGCGCCACGCAGCCAAGTGACCTTGAAAAGTGGCCATTGGAGTGCGTCCTCCCTCTGCTCAGCCCCAGGCCACCACCGCCGGGACGTCTGTTGTCCTTCTCATGGTGCAGGCGCTGGCCCCACCCCCCTGGCCACCTCTTTTCCTGCCCGCACTGGGGCCTCGGGCCCGCTCTGCTCGTCCCCTGCCTGGAGCCCCTGCGGGTGGTCCCTTCTCCTCCATCTGGTCTCCGCTTCAGTGCCACCTCCTCAGGGAAGCCCTCCCTGACCACCCAGGAGTCATTAGGTCCCCAGTTAGTCCCCCTCACAGCACCTCCCCGTGGTCTTAGGATTCTGCCTTTATTAGCCGATGCTTTAATTAACGTCCCCTCACCTGCAAGCGGTCAGTTCCGTAAGATCAAAACTGCGTCCGCCGCCCCTGGGCCGTTCCAGGGCCTGGGCCGGAGCTTGAGGGAAACTGGGTGACACGTGGTGAGTGGGCGTGCGGATGGCGCCTCGGCCCCTCCGCGTGGGTCTTAGGATTTGGTGAGGGAGTTGAGCAGGAGTGTCTCTCAAAGTTGCCTAGAAAACGACAGGAAAGCCTGTTTTTCCCGCCCTTAAGCTGGTGAAACTGTCCACATCTCCTCGTTAGTGTCCTCAGTGGGATCTTGTGTTCCTGACGTGGATCCGGGGCAGCTTGGGGCCGATGGCGTGGCGCCCCGCTGCCTGTCCCCGTCGATCTGTTTCACAGTTTCCTGTCTGGGCCCTAAAATCTTGATTTGCACAGTTATTTGTCTTGCTGCTCTTCACGGCGCCCTCTTAGGGCATCTGTATTATTTCCGTCCTAAGAACGTGAGCTCCGTGGGGAAGAGAACATGCTTTGAATAGCGCCTGCTTGACCCTGGGCCTGGGGGGCCGGGGGGACCAGCAGGTGGCACGAGGCCCTGGCCACCCTCGGGGGAGGCTCGTGAACACGCGGGCCCCACTCTGGCCCCTGCGGGTCTGGACTCGGAGCTCGTGCTCTGCCAGCTGTGCCTTCACCATGAGGGGCGCGTCTCCTCTCCCTCCTGAGGGGCTGCCATGGGCCGGCTCTGTCAGCAGCCCTCCGTGCCAGGCGCTGGGGGTGCAGCAGCAGGTGGAGCCTGGCCCCGTGTTCAGGGTCTAGGAGGAGAGACGGACACGTTTGATGGACAGAAATGGAGAAGTCAGACAGTGCCGAACGGTGGAGAAGACGTGTGTCCACTGGGCGGACGCATCCACTGGGTGGACGTGCACTGGTGCTCAGTTTACCTGGCGGAGGCAAGCGCTCACTCTCCTGTGACCCAGCAGCTCTCGTCCAGGCCTGGGTCCTGCAGCCTTGTCCCCACACCTGCACCCGCAGGACTCCTGCATAGGAGGGGACCCGTCACACCACACCCGGCAGAAAACTGGAGACAGCCCAGGGGCTCGTGGATGGGAGACTAGACGGGGGCCTGTGTGCACCGTGAGATGCACGGCGTCACGACAGGTAAGCTGCAGGTGCAGGCAGCACGGGCACCAACTCCAAGTTCAGAATCTCGCAAAACAGCAAGTTATCCATTAGGCACACGTACTACATATGTGGTAAATCTCTACACAATTATAGACACGTATCAATAAAAAGAAAAGGCACGTTACACGCCAAATTCAAGAGAGCAGTGCCCTCCGGCTGGGGGGGCAGGCAGGAGGACTGGCTGGGGGAGGCGCACGTGGCGAGACGGACGGTGATGGATGGTAATGTTTTGGTTTGTATTGTAATTTAAGTCAGTAAATGCACGGAGGCAGGGACTGACAGAGCTGTCAGCCAGCAGTGACCACAGAGAAAGTCAGGCTCAGCGTCAGCCGAGGAGAACAACCAGCTCTGTCCAGAGTGGGCAGGGAGGAGGTGCCTTGAGAGCTGGGGTTTAGGGATGGATGGGAATTTGCCAGATGGAGGTAGTCCCAGGGAGAGGAGCCTCAGGGGGAAAAGCTCAGAGGCGTGTCTGCGGCAGGGGGGGCGGGGGGGGGGGGGCGG